ACATTTTTCGGTGTGTGCCGTTTTCATCCTCAAATTCTGTTGTTTTCCCTTCCAAATTGCTATTTTTAGTTAAATTTTGCTATTTTTGATAATATTTCGATTGCATGTTAGGAGATGATTTTTAACCCGATTTGTGCTAGATTTTTCGAAGACTACTTATTTTATTCCGTATTTTTGTTTGACGTGATTTTTGGAATTTTGCCATTTTTAGCAAAATTCGAATTTTTGCTATAAAGTCCGGCTTGTGGACTTATTTTGATCATTGCTTGATATAATAAAATTCTTCAAACTTCAGAGACGTTTTCTCTGTATTTTAGGCGTTAATCTTGTGTTCTTCCCTGTGAATTTGCTGGTAGAACTAGTCTACAGAATAATCACTATTCTACTCGGCGTCACATATTCTGAATAGTTCAGAATTGTAGTCGCTTACAGTTTTGAAATCTGGTAAATGAATATGCATCCACTTATAGTGGGCTTTTGGGAGGACTATAGTCGTCTGATGATCAAAACTTTCAGTTAATTTTTTCCAAAGAACTTGTGGACCTTTCTCAATGAGATATTCAATTTTCAATCTGTCGTGAAGATGATGATGAAGGAAGATGAGAGCTTTTGCACGATCTTTCAGAGATTCTTTGTTTCCTTCTTTTATTGTCTCTCCCAAACCTTTTGAGACCAAATGGATATCAGCATCGAATACCCATGACAAATAGTTTTTGCCAGATATGTCAAATGCAGCAAACTCAAGTTTTGTGATGTTTTCCATTTGATTAACTACACAATAAAGTAAAAGAAAATATAATTAGTTTCGAAAAATATGATTAAATATCAAGTAGTCAATATCAATATGACATAAGTTACGTGTTTTCCTTCAAGAATAAACATCAATTTAAAATACTATGTCATTCGAAACATATACTACTTTGGGAGTACATTATATTTTACTATAACTTCTTCAAGAGTAATATGTCAATATTCTTCTGGAATATTGAAAATTATGATTCATACTCTTTAAGAGCAAGTAACATTTTCTGAAATATTAATTATAATATTGTGTTACTTCAAGAGCAACAATATAATAATTTATCATTTTAAATTTATGAACGAATATTTAAAATATCTAATCAAGTTAAAAGTATTAAATACCATACAAATAAGAATTGATCAAATAAAAGAATAAACACGAATTGAATAAATTATAAATTAGAAACTGATTGCATACATACGAATTGGAGCACAAAAATTATGGTGCCAGACAATTGGCATAATTGATACAAATTCAATAATGACAAGATTGGCAAAATTGACACATGAATTGACCAAAGAAAAATCACACATGAATTGGCAAGCAGATTTTAAAAATTATGGTGATGAAGAGAAAATAACAATACAATTCAATTTAAAAATCGGTAGAAAATAACAATTCAATTCAATTCAATTCAGTTTAGAAAATAACAATTCGCCAGAAGAAATTGATGTGCTATAATGTATTTGTATATAAAAACATTCACATATTACCAAATTAATTTTAGTACATATGATAGATGATTATGTTTAAAAAAAAATTACTACATTCACTAAACTTTGAAAAATTAAGCTTTCGTGCTGATAATGTGTTGTACAAAGAGAGAAAAGATAAGATAATAAGATAAGTCAATAGATTTGTGTGTATTATAATAGGAACCAAAAATCCTATATTTAGAGGGAAGGAATATTGATACATATGATAATAATATTTAGGACTGTAGTGGTACAATTATCATTCACCAATAACTTACCATTTACAACATTATGATATATTTTGTCAAAAGTAGTGTTCTAAAAGGCACGCCTAGGCGGCCGCCTAGGCGTGAGGCTAGGCCAAAACGCCAAACCTGATGGGTTAGCACCTTATTTGGCGGTCAACGACAATTGTTGACCGCTAATGCGCGCTTAGACGGGCTTTTTTTGTTAATACAATTCTTTTGAAGTTAAAAATTATTAAATGCTAATTTTTTCAGTTTGCCCTAATTTAAAATTAAAACAACCATTTGAACCCAAAAGTTAAGTGACCAGTGAATCTTATTTACGGTAGATAATTTCTTACTATTTACTTACTATTTTGTATTTAAATTTGAAACTTATATTTTTGTTGGAAATTTTGAAATAATGTATAAAGTTCCTATAAATCTATTTTAAATGTTTAGTAAGTATTATTTTTAATTGATTAAAAATTAAAATAATATTAAAATAAGAAAAAGTCTTTTTACGCTTTTTTATATATATGTCTCGACTAAGCTCGCCTAGCCCTGGGCTTGACCTCCACGCATCGTCACACATTACGCCTTTTAGAACACTGGTCAAAAGTACCAAATATCGGTATTTTTAGGCCCCTGAATAAGTGTATAAAAATACACTTACCATTGTGTTCCAACACTTCGAATAAAACCATTGATACCATCAGGGGCGGACCTGGGGGGCAGGTGCCCCCCACCCCCCCNAATGCATGAGATTCACGAGTGAAATTTTCAGTTGAAGTGACATTTTTAAGGAAATTTCGAGAGCTTTTTAGCCTAGGAGAATTTAGTCCGATTGAATGTAATCAGAAGAAAGAGTTATGCAATATGATTGAACTTGAATGAGCAATGATTGTTTCTCGGGTATTTGATGCATCGAAAATAAGTCTGATTTTTACCATTTCCTAGTTCCTTGTTGATTTACTTGTTGTATCTGTTAAATAAGTTTCAGAATTTAAGAAATGTACATATAAATCTGTGACTTGGATTTTATCAAAGTTTGTGTAGCTCTTGATGACCAAGAGTGTATACTCAATTTCTTTGTTGATTTGAATTACGAAACTACATTAAATTTTTCTTTATTTCCCACTTTAATTATGGAACGTTATCAAAATATGAGAACGCGTAGAAAACAATTGTAATAAAATATCTCTTACTTTAATTTTTTTCGTCACTTTTTGAAAGTTTAATTGTGCCCCCAACATAAAAAGTCTGCGTCCGCCCCTGGATACCATTGTTGAAAAGTGAGGTGAATTCCCTTTATTTTTTACCTACATGATCTTTATTTAGAGAAAAAAGGAGACAAAAAATGTAAAAACGATGAAAATAATTTATGAAATGTCAAAGTTTTCCATTATATGAAGAATTTATACATCGTATAGAATTTTCGCTTACCAAATCCCCCAAGTATTGCAGAGAAAATACCCTAAACTATAAATTCTCACCAATTTTCTATTCATTGAACAATCCACAAATAAAATAAGAAAAATCAGAATATTTAGCTTACAATTTTTCTCTCAAAATCCTAATGGGTATCGTGAAATGTGTGGTTAAAAAGTGGATAAAGACTGTGAATTCAATAAAATATGTAATTAAGAATGAAGTATGACGAATTTATAATCTCGAAAAAGCTTTAAGTCTCAATTTTTTTTAAAGCAGGCCTTACCTTTGTAGTGTAAACCAAGTGACATTTTAAGGTCCATTCTCTCGACGACGGGAAGTTAGAACACACATTGCTTTACCTTCAATTACTAAATTCATGTCGGCCTCGAATCAAAATTGATGTTCGACCTTCACTTCCTTAAAAATGCTAGAAGACTATATGTAATTTTATTTTCAAGGGTTACCAAGTTTAAAGATTAGGTGAATTAAATTTATTTAAAAAATAATTTGTGGCTTCAAATTTGTTATGTTTTGTAACAATGTAAATAATTGTTTTAAGTGTGTGCAATTTTTTGTATCTTATTTCTCTGTAATATTTTTGCTATGTAATTTTTTCAAAGAACCCTAGATTTAATAAGTTACAGTATTTTTAACTTCCATCATATATTAATTTAAATTTAAATTGTGTTACAATGTATGTAATTTTTTTTGAAATTGTAACTTACAATTTAAATCATGTATTATTATTACTATTGTTGTTGCTGCAGTGTGTGTAATTTTACACCTCCATCTCACCACCGTCAACCTATCACGGCCAAAAGTCACCACTTTAACACAAGAAATTACATATATTGTTGCTATGTAGCGGTTTTGGGGTGGCGATGATGTTGATTTTTTGGTCTGTTTTGGAATGACGGTGGAGGTTGTGATGGTAGCGAGATGGAATATGGTGACGGTGGTGAGATAAGGTTTGGGTCGAATGATTGTGATGAAGGTAACCATCATGTTGATGTAGGTGAGCGTAACATACTAGATGTTAATTTTTTTCACTAGGTTTTTTTAAGCTTTCAAATTTTTTGATTTCATCCCCACTGAACTTCCTTCACGAGTCTGCCGTGTTAGGACATGATTTGCTCTTATTTACGGCACGATATGAAATGAAAGTTGACAATAGAAGAAAAGTCAAATATTTTATCATTATTTAAAGTATAAACCGTGTATAATCTACCTCCAAATCCTTGATTGAATTGCTTCCAAACTAAAAATACTTTTTCATCATCTGCTTCATCACCTTCCTATGACTACACCTATACGCGTCTGTGATCAACACAAAAAGGCTCAAACTGTAAAAGAGCTGGCAATTTATATACACACTCTTCACATAATTCCGTGTATTGCGTCAATAATCACGGACATTCTAAGTTTCCAACGGAGAAAAGAAAAAAAACCAACGCGGTTGGTGTTCTCTTCCACACCAGTGGTATTCTTGTCACTTCAGAATGTTTCATGCACATGTGTAGTTTTCCCATTGGTCAATATTTAAATGTCTCAACCAACAAGCCCATCCACCAGTTTTCTTGACAGACGTCTCTTTTGTTCATACAAACTGTACACTTGATTAACGTGAACGTCATTCTTCTGTTTCCAGTTCAGCAATATGTTTTCTATATAAACTTGTACACTTTGTCAGCCTCTTTGCATTAATTTACAGTTCTCTCTGCGTACTCGTCTTCTTTCATACAAAATGTGGCAAATAAATATTCGTGCCATTCTAGTTCTATCTGTTTTAGCAATTGTGGAATCTGAGGATCCTTACAGGTTCTTTGATTGGAAGATCACTTATGGGGACATCTACCCTTTAGGCGTACGTCAACAGGTACGGTTCTTACATAATATATGACATGTTTAATAAGATGAACATGACACGACACCACAGACGACAGTTCTTGCTTCTGAACATGACACTTTTGCATGCTGATTCATGATGGTCTTTACTCTTTCACTTGCAGGGAATCCTCATAAATGGCCAGTTTCCGGGACCAGATATACAAGCTGTTACTAACGACAATCTCATCATCAACGTACAAAATAACTTGCCAGAGCCTTTTCTTCTCTCATGGTTAGCAATAGCATGATGTATAGTTTTGAAATATAGAATTTTGTGGTTTGTTAGACGCAAGTCTTACGTCCAAAAACTACTCTGTTTTGAAAGTTGACGCCATTGTGTATGAATATTCACTACCAAGCACCTAAAACAGTTTATGTTTTGTAATACAATACAGGGATGGAGTTCAGCAGAGGAAGAATTCATTCCAGGATGGAGTTTATGGAACAAATTGTCCCATTCCTCCTGGAAAGAACTTCACTTACAAAATGCAGGTCAAAGATCAAATAGGAAGTTTTTTCTATTTTCCATCTCTTGCATTTCATAAGGCTGCTGGTGGATTTGGAGGAATTAGGATTCTCAGTAGGCCTAGAATCCCTGTACCATTCCCTGACCCTGCTGGGGACTACACAGTACTGATTGGAGACTGGTACAAAACAAATCACAAGGTACTTCAGATAACACTTTTTGGCAATTAAGAAGAACCATTTATGCGATGAAATAAATTATGATGTTGTACTAAAATTGAAGGTACTCAAGGCTATTTTAGACTATGGTAAGAGGCTTAAGTTCCCTGATGGCATCCTAATCAATGGCCGTGGTCCCAACGGCTCATCATTCACCGTTGAACCAGGTAACAAATAGTGGTTGAGCTATTTTATCTGTGCATAGATAAGATTTGAAATTCTGCTAAAATATGGGAGATATGAATGTGTTTTCAAGGAAAAACTTACAGGTTCAGGATATCAAATGTGGGACTGCAAAATTCACTTAACTTTCGTATTGAGGGACACAAAATGAAGTTAGTTGAAGTTGAGGGGACTCACACCATCCAAACAACCATGTCCTCTCTTGATGTCCATGTTGGTCAGTCCTATTCTGTGCTAGTCACTGCTGATCAGCACGCTAAAGACTACTACATAGCCGTTTCCACACGTTTCACGAGCCAGATCCTCACCTCCACTGCCGTTCTTCACTATAGCAACTCCATAAAACCGGTGTCTGGACCACCACCAGGAGGACCAACCACCGAAATTGATTGGTCACTAAATCAGGCTCGTTCCATCAGGTACATTCCACCTTTAAAAGTCGAGGAAATGATACATGTGTAGAATTAAAAAGATACAAACTCCATTACTGTCTCGATCATGGAAGAGAACAAGGCAAACAAAACATGATTTGATTTTCTAAGCAATGATTTTCGTTTCTCATTTTCCACTACTATTCTCAGGACAAATCTCACTGCAAGTGGGCCAAGACCAAACCCACAAGGCTCATTCCACTATGGTCAAATAAAAGTTTCCAGAACAATCGAACTAGCTAGTTCAGCTGGACTAATCAATCACAAACAGCGTTATGCAGTTAATGGTGTATCATTCGTCCCAGCTGACACACCACTAAAGCTTGCAGACTATTTCAAGATTGGAGGGGTTTTCCGCGTTGGAAGCATCCCTGACAATCCAAGAGGCCGAAGAATACATACCGACACATCAGTTATGGGTGCGGACCACAAAGCATTTGTGGAGATAGTGTTCGAGAACCATGAGAACATAGTCCAAAGCTGGCACCTCGATGGATATAATTTCTTTGTGGTCGGGTATGTGCATATTGACGTTACATTTCAATTTAGGGATGATGAATTATATCCTTATCTAATTCACATTTAATCCATAACTCTGCAATTCCACATCAGACATAAAATGTATTTCAAGTTCCCTACGTGTGCAACTAATGTTACTCAAACTAAAATGATCATTGCAGAATGGATGGTGGCCTGTGGAAGCCAAAGAGTCGGAAACAGTATAATCTTGTAGATGCAGTTTCTCGATGCACGACACAGGTAAAAATCAGATTCTAAATTCTCTTAAGCAAAATGAGTTTGAGCTATGTGAAACTAACTTATGTATATCACAGGTTTATCCCAAGTCATGGACTGCGGTTTATGTGTCGCTCGACAATGCGGGCATGTGGAACTTAAGGAGTCAGTTTTGGGCAAGGCAATACCTTGGACAACAATTATACCTGCGAGTGTATACACCAGTTCAGTCAGTTAGGGATGAGTATCCTATTCCAAAAAATGCACTGCTTTGTGGAAGAGCGAAGAACAGACACACATGAGCCACTGCCAAAAATGATAAGAATCTCTGATCATCAGCACTTGAAATTGAAGAATGACCTTGAGGTCACCAATTATCACATTCTTTTATATCTAGAAAATAAAAATGCTCAAGGAAAAGTTCGGTAGTAGTAAATTTGTATACATCATACCCTTCTATAACAAAATTAAGCACATCTGTTTCTGGTTTTGGAAAACTTGAATGTCTCTGTGCCTTGATGTTTTCAACGGAAATGAGGAAAAATGTTGCACATTCATTACATGCATATTTTACTAATGTTTCAAAACAGAAAACATTTGAATATAAACAACCAAAACTGCATAGTGCGGAAGATTAGTACTTCGTTAAACAAACATTTAAGACATGCGAGTTTCTGGACCTGGAGCAATCTGCCCAGTTACTGGAAATTAGTAAGAAACGAACTCAAAAGTGAATATTTTCGACCTGCATGATATGTATCGAGAGAGCGAAGACACCTGTTGATCGTACCATGGTCTGCTGCATACCATTTGTATCGTATGACCTCACAACCAGGTTTCCTGAATTCGTGAAAAACTTTGCCATACAATCTATAGACATATCACACTTTAGTAAAAAAAAAAATCACGTGCTTGATCTTGCAGGGATCTTAATCCATGTAAACAGAGGTTTTTAATGAAGACGGATCATCCCGTTGCATATGAGAGCTGGAATTGACACCTTTTGACTAGTGAGTCATCAAGATAAGGCCACTTATCAAACATCCAATATACATCACTTCTTCTCTCTTAGTATTAAAAGCTCATACTTAATGCCTAAAAAGGTAATTTTAACAGTGTACCGGTGAATACCATATTCTTCCTTGAGCACCATTGTTGTGATAAGCAAGCTCGGTAGTTTCTCTTCAAACCCAATTCCGTCATTCTCATCCATTGTCTCTGTTACACTCCAAAAATATTATTTTTTGATTGACTTGAGGTCAGAGTACTCCGACCGTCTCCCCTACGTTCGAGCTATGGTCACATGTATTTAAAGCTTTGTCCAAGTGTACATGTAACTTATACGTGGACGGGAGTGAAGTCGAGATTGTAGGTCACTTGTCTTGCAAAATTTCAAGGTCAACAGATTGATGTCCTTTGTGGGAAACCATACTTTCACCACGAGCCCTCATGAGCTAAAAGCTATTGGGAAAAATATCTTATTCCACTTTGAAAAGAGTGTTATTCTTGAAAAAGGAACAAGTAGAAGTTTTGAAGAAAAAAACACTCGAGAACATCTTCATTTTTTAGCCCTTTGATCCTTGCATGGTGGATGGGTTATATTATGGTGAATGTAATAACTCTCGACCCATAAAACAAAATGACAACCAGATAGTTTATTGCAATAAGTTTGTGTGGAGAATATATGTAACAATCGGAGAGTTTATTACAAAAGGTTTTTGAGGAGTTCGTAATTACCAAATAGTTTGTGAGAAGTCAATACAATTTATTGAAGACAAAAAGTATAAACGGTAGAAGAAGAGAAGGGGGTTCACTTGTTATTTATTCACCCACCAACTGATTTGAGTAATTAACTAATTTATCATTTTAGTTCGTAAATCTCATCACCACACTCATTTTGAAACCGATGGCATCAAGAATTTGCACACCATATGTTGACTCCATTTTTTGGACAGTTGGCGTGGACAAGTGGACAACAGATATCAGACTCACTTGCATTCTTGTAAGCCAATTCCAAGACGTGTAGACAGATTACCAGTCAAATAATATTTCGAATTTGAATGTGGGAAGAGATTTATAACACGAGAAAAATATGTTCGGGCTCCGGCAAAATATGCAAACGAAATTGCAATATAATGAACGATCAACAAAGAATTAAACTCAAGATCAAGACCAAAAAAAAAAAGATTAATCAAAGAAATGAGAGAATGTATAGCTTGTAGTGGATATATTAGCATTATCCCCAATATGAAACAAATGTGGAATATTTACAGTGTTATATGTAAATGGTGTCCATGGGATGGGTGGACACGTGGCCTCATCTCATAAACCGAGGCATTTATATGCATCAATTTTGACTCCACTAGCCTGTGACGTATTAAATGTTCTCAAAAAGGAGGCAGCCACCCTATAACCTATACCGACAAAACTGACATTTCTACTCATTACAAAAGTCTAATCAATCATTCTAAAAGGATTTCATACATTCAAAATCTTCAAACGTGGATCGTCACCAACGTTAATTAAGTATCGGATTCTACTTCGCTGAACCTCGCCACTTCGACAAACAAGCTTCGTTTGGGCCTTGGATTTGTCTTCCGTAGAGGGACTTTGACAGTGATATTCTCATGAAAATCGCTTTGGTAAGAGTGGGCTTTGGTGGATCGGATTTAAATGGACTTTGGTAGATCGTACTCCACGTGGCATACCACATGGCATCAACAAGAAGAGCTTCAGCGGATCGCCCACATGGGGTGCCAAAAGGTGAAGCGTAACAATAGTTCCCCAAGTCTATGTATGGTTATTTATGTCATGCTTGGACTTCTATCTTAAGCGAAATTTCTTTAAAGTATATTTCTTGTCATGGTTAGGTTTTTGACCAATATAATAGTCCCCCAAGTTCAATTATAGATATTGATGTCATAGTTGGAGTTTGAAGCTAAACTTGATTCTCGCATCTTATCCTTATGTAATGTTGAAGCTCCAAGTGTTGGAATCTATTTGTTGAGTTGAAGAAGGGAAGTGTTGAACTGCTGAAACTCTACGTTTTGCAAATAACTGAAATTTGCTTGTTGAACCGAAGCAAAGAAGTGCTGAACTGCTGAAACTCTTCATTTTAAAAATAGCTTAAATTTGTTTGTTGAGTCGAAGTAGGGAAGTGCTGAAATAGCTTAAATTTGCTTGTTGAGCCGAAGCAGGGAAGTGCTGAACTTGAAGATCTTCGTTTTGTAAATAATTGAAATTTGCTTGCTAAGCCGAAGCAGGGAAGTACTGAACGGCTGAAGCCCTTTGTTTTGAAAATAGCTGAAATTTGCTTGTTGAGCCTAAGCAGAGAAGTGTTTAATTGTTGAAGCTCTTCGTTTTGAAAATTGCAGAAATTTGCATGTTGAATCGAAGCAGGGAAGTGCTGAAACTACTGAAACTCTTTGTTTGATTGACAATAAAGTATGTTTTTTTATAATTGTGCCAATGATTTGATGTTTTTGTATGTTACCAAGACAAGACAAGTAAGACATTTTGACTTACAATACACGTACAACCATTCCATAGTTATTTTGCAACCTGTCATATCAAAATTTGACTAGCCGAGATTTTTATCCTGAATTCTACCAAATTATGGATTGATGGTTAACTTTAGTTGACAATTCGATATAGCCCATTACCATTCAAAATAGCATTTAAGTTTTAGAGATATTAATTTAATAAGTTTGAAATTAGATGGAAAATTTTGAAAACTAAGATCCAGCTCACCAACAGGTTATAAGTTCTACTAAATTTCCACCATTCTTTGAAAGAGATAATGACTTTATAAATCTGAAAAACCTCATTATCTCGTAATTTCACAAGCGTGTATAAAATGTTTGAACACGACTACTCTATACATTTTTTAAGAAATATAAGAAAGGAAAAACTATTGTTGGAATCCGAACCAACACCTCATCAAATAGATAGTTCATACAACTATTTATGCACTAACAAAAAGATTGGATACCAAATCAGTGAGGCCAAATTGAACAATGGCCGCCATAATTTACAGAGGTACCATTACCAACAACTCCCATCGGTATGACACACGATGATCATGACATCAGCACCTAATTCTCAACCAATTACAAGCTAGTAATGATTACCCATTATCAAGTTATTATTGCCTGACGCCATAACTGCAACATAGGCATCATGGGGACCTCTTTGGCCGACCTTAGCAACCAATCAGGGAACCTAGATCTTAGGCAATGACACACTTTCTAGGTTGATGTTGTAGTTAAAATGACGCTGAGTGAGCAAGTGGTGTGGCCTTTCAACCTATAAATATAGGCAAATGGTCCCCTCGAGAGGATCGAACTCAATGTATTATATACAGTACATTCCAACTTCAATCAATGAAATTATCCTTTAATTATCCTAAATTTCAACAATTCCAGCAATCACTTTACTAAATTTCTATCAAGTTTGTCTAAAATTGTCACATCATTTTTTATAATTAACGACTATGAAAATAAATCAATAATTATTTCCTTTCCAAAATTTCATTGGAGGAAGTACCAATGTTTGGAAACAATTTTATAAATCACCATTTCGTAACCTAAAATCTGAAATTAGGAGTTCAGATTTGATGTTTCGAACTTGCTTTTTTTTCGGTTATTCCCTCAATATATTTAGTAAATGAAAAAGTGTCATTAGCTTAGTAAGTTGAGTTGTTAAGAGATGTGATAATTTTTTTTGGTTTATTAAGAGAAAATAATATGAAATATTAAAAATGTATTGAGATGATTGTGGATCGGACCGGACTTGATTTCTATAACTATTCAATCATACTACACGTACATATTTGTTAACATTATGTTTGACATTATTGTGGGATGATAATGAAGGTAAAATAATAATTTCATCTAATTTCGGGTTTGTTCGTTTTTGACGAATTGCTAGTCTAATTTGATTGGAAACGGGCCAATGATCACAACACAGGGTCTTTGGCCCTGATGCAGTCAAATTTTGAGCAAATTCCATCGTTTAGGCCATCAATTAAGCGTTTTTGCCGTTTATAGTAATTTTTGTTTTGGCAATATTTTAGTCAAATAAACTCGAATTTGATTTTCCTTTGTTGGGGGATGATTAGAATAATCAAGATCCGTCATTATCTCAATTTTTTCCATTTTTGGAAAAAAATAATATTTTTTATTATTAGGTAATTTCTTTCCGAATTTTCTTAGGGTTTCGCTATTTAAACGTTGTAAGCCCTTTGAGGCAGCTTAGTTTTGAATGAAATAAAATTTTTCCTTGAATTTCTCATGATTGAAATTCTTTTTGTGAGATTTTTGTCTTTCTTATAATCTTCCCCTACACTAGATGATGACTTTTTAACAACACTTTGAATAATCAATGACACGGGTTTTAATAACAAATAGTGTGTGAAAGTGTACAATTAATTTAATCCATAATTGGTTTCTTGATTTTGGCAAACATTGTACATATAAGCCAGATCAGTTGCTTACACCAACTCAAAAGTCAGAGAGAGGGGGAGAGAGTCAATTGTTGGCCATTGATAGCCATAAAGTTAGGCAAATTTCTTGATGGATTGCTCTGAAAATGACGTGCTACCCTTTTCGAAGTCTTAAATGGTTAGATTAACCTCTGATCGCGGAAGTTTAGGTAAGTAATAGGGAAAGGAATTTGAACGTCACAAGTTTGATTTGCATATGAATCAGCATTAATTAACACTATAAATTACTTTCAAAAATCCAAAAAAGGTCCAATAATGGGTTTATTTCAAAACCACAAAAATTATATTAAATTAATTAATGAATTAAAAATAATTTTTGTTGACCCCGTTTTTTGTAATGGTCACATGGACAACAGATGTCGGGTCCACTCATATCTACGCAAGCAAATTTCAACAAGTTTTGATCGAAGATTCGGACGGAAAATGATGCGTTTTATGGATGTGGGAAGTACTATATAACGCGAGACAAAAATGTTCGAGAACCGACAATATGAACAAAGATGATTGTATATAAATAAATAATCATAACCAAATCAATCAAAGTACAAAAAAAACTAAATTGAAGCAAATAAATATGGACATGAGTAAGAGAGAAAATCGGGTGTAGTAGCTTCAAGTGTGAAGTGTTGCACTAAGTTCAAAATCGGGTGGAGAGGCGTGGCAATTTTCAATTTATTGAATATGCTTATAACCACATAGAGAAGCACGTGATTTTCCCCTTTCCGACACGCCACCAAACTGCTGTCGTAGGCTCATTGCAAAGTATCCGACCAGCCGACCTATGGGCTACGGTGTTCAGTTCAATCACCAGGATTTCACGTTCAAAAAGCTATTGAATTGATATATATATTAATAATTTCATGACAAAAGATAATAAATAAAACCCCCTCGAAAATGCAATTCGTCCCCCACAGACCACATGTCATCATCTTTCCCAAAACCATAAATTGGATGCATTATGCAATCATCATGCCCAAAGTTTGTTTGACACCACAACTAGTGATTCGGAATAACTACGCTTCGACATGCCTTTAACGTGTTAATTTTCAACAAGTTTATGTGATTGTGATATCAAAGTATATGTATCTTCTTGAGATAACATTGAGAGTGTTGCTTTAGGGGGAAACTGATTGTACACTTAGCTTCCGATGAGTTCAAATAATCACTTAGTTTAGTCGAGTCTTGAAAAATAGGAGTGATACTTACGATTGAAAACTCTTATGTACTTGAGTTAGTGAGATTGAAATATCACTCAAGTAGAGATTGAGAAAATTACGTAAAATTCCGTATTTGTAATGAATCTCGTCTATAGAGATTTTGAGAACTGACACCGTCATTGTTACTTCAATCAATTCTGACACAATTTCAGGAAGCGCTTTTATGCGATTTTCATAGGCTAATTTAGTCAACTCGTCATGATAATCCTTATCTCTCGAGCCTGGTTTGATTATTAGTATCGTGTGTACCATTATACTGATTATTCTAACTCGACTTTACTTCGAATGTAAGCATTATATGCTTTTACCTGTGAATGTGAAGTTGAAATTTCGTCCACAAGGTGTTGATTTTCCTATATGCCGATCCTCTAGCTTGGCCGTTACGTGACCATGTTAGTTTCTTTATTTGTCCCTATTATTGGTAAGGAAGTGACCCTTCTTGGTGAGTGGGGGTGCTTCTCCTCATTTTTCCAAGATATCATCCATTTTGGCACCAATAATGTGACATGTCATAAATCAAGCTGCAAATTGGTTTGGTTTGAAAGTTTAAAAGGATTTAATTTAAAAATAATTACAAAATCGTCTAAATCCTACACTAAAACGACGTCATTTCATCCGCAAGTGACAAATTCCTACTACTAACGTCGGCTTCTTACGTGCAACCCAACCGTCCACCTCTGCCGCAGAAAATGACTCTCCATTGCTAACGCCGTCTCTTTTTACTTTTCTTCTGCCAAAGACCCATATTCACCTACATACATTATACATTTAGAGAGAGAGAGAGAGAGAGAGAGAGAGGGGGGAGACGAAAGAGTGAATCTGCATTTTGCTTTACAATTTCCATCACCACTACTCTTATCTGAAGCAAATTGACCGCCACGTTTAGTATTGCTTTTTCTACTCAAATTGTTACCAGAATGCACATCTGAGATCTCTGTATTTACAAACAAATCAAGCTTCTGGGTTAGCTCATTGGCGTGAAAATGAGTGTGACGTCAGAGGAGGCGTCTGAAGAGAGATGCGGGAGCTACAGTCTGAGTGCCGATATCAGTGAGTCGGAGTTTTCATGTAGCGGCTCATCGTGTCGGCGGTACAAGGCGGAGGAGGAATATGGAAGCGCCTCGAGTTCAGGAGTCTTGTCGCCGATCTCGGCTGTTGCTAGCTCGGGGATTCCAGCACCGGTTGTGCCGCCTTTCATGTTCCCGCTGATTGGCGGGAAGGATGTGGTAGTCTGGGATAAGATGCCGCAGAAATGTGCCGCCGATTTGTCAGGTTTGTATTCGGTTTGATTTTATAGTCATGTTAGTGGAACTCTAGAATATTTTTCTTTGGAGAATTGGAAGTTACAGGCATTTTAATTGTATGCTGGAAAAATCCTACTGTGTTCTATGTCTACTCTACATTGTTTGTTTCATCTGCTTGGAAATAAATTTAAGGCTACATCTTATCTTCATTTATCTTATATACCTTTAATGCCTGTGCTTGCAATTTTTCCTTCATTTATCATTATATTTTTTTCGTGAATAAAGATTAGATTTATTTAGTTGTATAACACATTGGCCTATATGACAGATAGTGGGGCTTACATACTAAAGCATTTTTCATGAATGTTTTGTTCATCTTGCATTTTCTCATATTCTGTTCACTCTTAGATATTGAGATGATGAAGGAAAGATTTGCTAAGCTTCTTCTTGGTGAAGACATGTCTGGAGGAGGTAAAGGAGTTTGTACTGCACTCGCCATATCAAATGCCATTACTAATCTCTCTGGTAAGTCAAGTTATATGGTGTATATGTTTCCATATATACCTGAGTATGTAGGCAGATAAGGTCTGAATGCGCGGTCTAAGTTTGTTTGGAATTTTTTGGGTTATAGCAACTGTGTTTGGCGAATTGTGGAGGTTGGAGCCAATGGCACCTCAGAAGAAGATAGTGTGGTGCAGAGAAATGGAATGGTTGTTATCTGTTAGTGATTCAATTGTGGAACTAGTGCCCTCTATACAGCCATTTCCCGGTGGAGGCACATATGAAGTAATGGCAACAAGGCCGCGATCTGATTTGTATATGAATTTACCTGCACTCAAGAAACTCGATGCTATGTTGATAAGCATTCTTGACGGATTTCGTGATACAGAGTTTTGGTATATTGATCGTGGGATAGTTGTGGATGAGTGTGAGAAGTATTCTTCCGGGGTGTCTGGTGGTAGGCCTTCTATTAGACAGGAAGAGAAGTGGTGGCTTCCGCACCCAAAAGTTCCTCCAAAGGGATTGTCAGATGATATGAGGAAGAGGCTACAGCAGTGCCGTGATTGCACAAACCAGATACTGAAAGCTGCCTTAGCCATAAATAGCAATGTTCTTGCTGAGATGGAGATTCCAGATGCCTATTTGGAAACCTTGCCCAAGGTAATTTTACCTTATATATGGTTATTCCACCATTTTCCTTTGATGGGAACATGATGAAGCACATTTTGCTTGTGGGCGTCACACTTGTTTAGAATTTTCAGTCACCCTACTTAGTATAGCATTGTATTCTTTGATGGTTGGATCTTCTTGTATTTTGATTAAAGGCACAAGGGTGTTTCTGTAATTTTGAGTAATTCTACCAAAGCAAGCCTGTCAATTTGCGGTCTTTATAATTTTCTTTTTGTCTTGCTTATCTTATGAACTAAGATATTTGCAAATGTTGATACTAAATAATGTGGGATTCATTCTTTTACATGTATTTTATTTCATTTCTGACAATACTTGTTTGGTTACATATCATATCACAATTTGAAGTTTCAAACACTGAGAAATAGCAGATATTATCCCCTTTGCATCTTTCTTTGGTAGGTACAGCACCATAGGATTGAAATTTACAGGGCTTTTGTACCCTGGAAAGATGGAATGAAATTCACGAGAAAAACAAATTTACTGTTTTTGACATGGAAATTGCTAGCTTACCAATAAATTGTTTTTATTTTTTTAACCCTGATGCCATCTTTGAAGTGAAAGGAGGATTTCTGTACTGGAGTATGTTGCTTGGAAATTGTAGTAGAATTGCATGGTAATCTAACTATACTAATTTTTAGTTCTTTCCATATTTCAGAATCCTTGTTTAACATTTTGAAGCATAGGCTGGCATTTTATACTCTTGGATGGCTTGGCCATGAATGTCTTTGGCCTTGAAACTCTGTTCATATCTTTTGTTTGACATTTTCTGCCGGAGTATCACTTCTGCAATGCAATCAACGGAGTCATATTATCCTTAATTTACATCATGTAGGAATCCATCTACAACTCATTAATTTGAAAGAGAATTTGCTTTTTTGTGAAAGATGGATATCATCTGCCTACCTCTGCCTGGCATGGAAAGACTTGGTGGGTTGTGAGGGACTCAAAATTTTGTTCGCTCATTCCTTTCCATGTTGGATATAAGTTGCAAAACACAGTACCAGAATCACTAAGGATCTTGGTCTATCAAGTTTAAAGGAATTTTGATTGGACGTAGAGAAGACCAGTGTTTTGTTTAAGTAGATCTTCTACAACAACCTATATTTGAATTTGGACAGAAATACGTGTTTATGCCATCATTTGTATGTAAAAAATCTGGGAGATTCGTGACTTATGTTTTGCAGTTTTCTCTTTAACATAATTTTTTCTCATTTATTTTCCATTTGCCGTTTCAGAATGGAAGAGGTTGTTTGGGTGACACCATCTACCGATACATAACTGCAGATCAATTCTCACCAGGTTGTCTGCTTGATTGCCTTGATTTGTCATCCGAGCATCACACACTAAATGTGGCAAACAGAATTGAGGCAGCTGTGCATGTATGGAAGCTGAAAGAAAGAAAGAAAGAGCCAAACCTTAAGAAAGCTAAGCGCAAGACATGGGGTGGTAAGATGAAGGGCCTTGTTATCGATGGTGAAAAGAACCAATTTCTGGTACAGCGAGCTGAAACCTTATTGCATAGCCTAAGACTTCGGTTTCCCGGTCTTCCACAAACTGCACTGGACATGAACAAGATCCTGTATAACAAGGTAGTTATTCTACGTTAGTTTTCAATATTCGAATGTTTATAATGGTCAATTAAAATTTTTGAATTCTGTTAGCACGGTATGAGAATGGAATGTTTGCTTAAATAAAACTTTCCTGTTCTTCTGCAGGATGTTGGGCAGTCAATTCTAGAAAGCTATTCAAGGGTAATGGAGAGCTTGGCGTTCAACATAATGGCAAGGATTGACGATGTTTTGTATGTAGACGATGCAACCAAACGCTGTGTTGCTGCTGAGGCTCTTTCAATTTTCAACAGAGGAGGTTTAAACGGACTTCCTATTCAAAAGAAAATGTCACCAAGTCCCTTTTCAATTCAGCATACCCCATATACCTCTCCTTTTGCAACTCCAACATTTTGTTCATCTCCGCCATTAGCCAGTAGCCAAAGGAGGTCTGTTTCCCCACTACACAAGAAAAGTGAAAAGGCAGCAGCACCAAGCCATCAATTTGACCAAGTTGTGCAAACTGAATGGGACAAAGTATGGTCCTATGCTGGAAATCTTAGTGCTAGAAGAGTTTCTCGGGATGCCCCGGAGCGTGACTGATTGAATTTCCTGCCTAAAGGCTGTTAGGAGTACTAAATTCCGGAAAATGGTAAATTCATTTTACCATGTATATTATAGCATAGGTATTCTCTGCTCATAATTTTGACAGTGGTTTAACTGAATCTAGTTAATATTGGTCTTGTGCTGGTATTATTTATATATGTAATTAATTTACGTATTAATATGAGCTTCATTTTATGGATTAAGGTTCAATTATCCTTTTGGCACATTCTCTGTAAATTACAACTTCATGCGAAATGTATTTCACTTAACCACATTTGAGAGACGTGGCAACCGCAATGAAAGTTTAGACAACTATTCAAGCATTTGTAATTTGGAATACGTACACAATAACAATGTTACCAGTTCTAATTTGCCAGTATAAAGAATTCTCATTATTACATGGTTAAACAAATGCAATTGAACTAATCTCCCTGGTTAACCATTGGTAGTACTTTTTGGGCATCAACCAAGCAAACCATCTGATGCTACCATATTCACCAAACGCGATCATGATACCTGAACTAAAATTCACGAGAGGGTCAAAATGGAGAATACCACCGCACTTGACATGTTAAGGCCATTGATGAATGAGTGCAAATGGGTAAAAAATAATGCTTATGGTCGATAAACTTGCGAACATTTAGTTAATAACACAAACAATGGGATGTGACCAAACAATCATCTCACACGGCATCCATCAACGTCCTACAAGGAGTGATCGACAAAGAACCATGATCTTATGTTCTCATCATAGATTTGTTATAGCGGTTTCCCTCCACTAACTGTGATGCCTGCCGTAATTTATAGAAATTTTAGGACACCTGCCCCACGTGATCACGACCGCTCTTTGCCACATCACCTTGACGAGATCTCTATGTAGGAAACTCAAAATAGAACAAAAGGTCATTTTTACTTTTTGCATCTTTCCATATTACACACGTCTTTACTCCCTTCACGTTTTCTCCAAAGAACGCATTAACTTTCTCCCACACTTTGAAGACAAACAGGGATGAGGTTCCCAACCTCTTCTTTCTGCAGGTTAGCTGATTGAGTTGTTATCACTACGAGGGCGACAAAAATTGACCAGTATCACCATCTATCTACCAAAATTCCAATCCAACCCTTTTAACCGCTACAAAATGGATACAAGACGAGCTTATCTCCAATGAATGGAAGAATTTAATACTGGAAGATTGTCTTTTGAATCAAAGAATTTACAAGAGTAGACAGTTCAGACAACCAAAAATGGCTTCTTTATTGGCTTGCTTCGGCTGTATAACTCTTGATACTATTGAAATAAGTTAGCTTCTCATGCAAAGAAGCTAAGCCAAACTTGCTTTGCACTTTGACATTGGATTTTGAGATTCAACAGTGAAGACAGCAATACTAAACCGTTTAGGAATAGGATTGACAAAAACCGGTGTTGCTCAATTGGTCAGACCTTGGATTTGCTCCTCAATGGTCACCAATTCGAATCCCCTCAGGACCACTGAAGTGAGTACCCGGCCATAAACTTCAGGCCCCATGAGATTAGTCGAGGTGCATGTAAGTTGAGCCGGACATCCACAACTATAAAAAAAAAAGAAATAGGATTGACAATGGTTTAGCATTCTTTCTGTCTGTCCGGTTTTTCTTATTATTTTTTTCAAGCTCTATGTTTCTAGGGCATATAGAAAGTGCTGTGCTGACTCCTAATTGCTAACAAGAGTAAATTTTGTAGCACAAACAGAGCACATAAACCCCAATTTCGACCAAGGAATGATCATATCCATAAAATTAGACGAGATTACTTAAGCATGCGAAAAAAGAAACACATATTAATGGTGAATACGATTAATGTACAGAAATGAAAACTATTTCATGGAAATAAGAGATGAGGAAATTGGAAGTCCACATAAACAACTGCTTATCAGAGTGCAATGACAACAGCTGAACCAGCCAAAATGAGAGCTCAAATGTTCAATGGTTTACGTAAATAGTTGGAACATAAACGTAAGCACTAAACAGAGATCACTCAAATTGATCAATCAGTTAACAAGGTATTTGAAAAATCACAAGCACTGAATAGCAATATCCCAGGGATTTCATTCGCCATTTGCCTGAAAAGTAGAAACTTAGAATGCACTGTCTATCTATGTCAAAACGGTGAAGAAATAATGGCCTTCACATACCAAAATGGCTTAATACCATTAGAAAACAAAGTAGAATTTCATTCCACATAAAAATGAACAGAAATGTGCAATCCACTTTATCAAGTAGCAACATTGTTGGTTGATCATCAACCCTACTTCTAGCATAAGATTAGTACACGAAAAACCTTAAAACTGAAGATCAGAAGTAGATAACTGCTGCAGCTGTCAAATATGTAGACACATGGTCGTAAATATCAATAACTTGTGTCCTCCCAACTGGTACTCTTGTTTGGCTCACAAGGCTTGAGAAAAATTAAATAGCCAATCGTTCCAGCTCAGCCTGCATACAAAAGACGAAGGTTGACAGAATCAGTTGCTTGCTCAAGATTGTAAATACATTCACATACACTTCCATTGGCAGAAAGCAGCAATTACACATAAGACAAGAAAAGAATAGAATGCACTTAGATCAAGAAGGCCAGTCCTAATTAAGCATAGTTTCAGTGGTGAAAATAGACTCTTAACCATGCTTGCAGTAAAAAATAGAGGCAATCAGGTACAAAAAGGTGCACACTTTGCATTACATATTTTTACATGGATAAATCTATATGTACATAATTATTGTACATAATGAATCCTATGTGGAAGAAATTCGGCCGTGGATGTGAAGTGTGGAAAAGTCAAAAATTGTAGACTGCCGATGGATGCGCGCCACATGTCAATTATGTAATGTATTATGTAAATGATTATGTACTTGTAGCATGATCCTTTTTACATTAGGCCGTAAGAAGATAGAATTTTTCTCAATCATTTTTCTTGAGACAATAGTTTCAAATACTTAACTAAAAATGCAGCAAATAATATCCAGAAACGCAAACAATATCTTGAATAGACAGCTCCAACAAACGCATCTCAAATAATGAGTAAAGTTGAATCCAAGAAATTAGCAGTTAACACGAAAAATAAAACCACCACTTAACTAATGCTACCAAGAAACAAAAACAATATCTCGAATACATGATGCTGCTCAACAAATTCATCTCACGCAATAAATAAAGTTAGGCGGAAAGATAAAAATTCCAAGAAATTAACTGTAAACTGGAAAATTAAAACCACCACTTACTTCAACAGACACATTAGAACAAACCCAAGCAGGTGGCGGCCAGAACATGTGGGAATAACCATCGTGACTATCAATTGGCCCAATACTCCCACTCTCCAAATCAAACACTCCGATACCGCGACTCTTCCACAGCCAATCATCCTCGCTGCCACTAAAGAACTGATCTGTAAATAATATACAATTACCTTTACACCCATTATCCCCAAACACCTCCGAAGCAGAAGCTGAAAATGTACAATTATCACCCAGAAACAACAACTTATCACCCAAATTAGTCACTTCGACCCATTTTTCAGCATTTTCATCCAACCTAAAAACTCTGAACTTCACCGTCCTCTCACTCGTATAACAATCAAATTCCTCGTAGAACTCAAAATCCTCAATGTTCCCCAAATCATCCTCCGGGCCAACAGACAAATACTTATCGACTAACAATAAATCTCCAAATGAATCCACCAAGAATTTCTTGTCCCCGCCAAAAATCGAATGAGCAACAACACTTACACTAGGAGATCCCCCTTCATCCAGATTCACGACAACAGTTCTCCCCGTACTATCAATTGCATAAAAACGCCCCTCCCTGAAGATCACATCATCATAAGGCGAAGGCAGGTCATTAATAACCGTCCATTTCTTGTCACCAGATTTGTAAATCACTAACTTCCCAGATACGTGAATCGTCAATAACACAAACCCATTTTTTTCAGCACCCAAAAAATCTAAACAAACAGCAACCTTTTCCATGTAAAGATTCCCGGCCTCTCCAATGGAATTAGCCAGCGGGCTAAAATTGATATACTGAAGGGTATATTCATGACCCAACTCCTTGATTCTCAAATTCAAGAAGCTAAAATACTTAGGGAAATTATCAGGCACCAGTTTGAAAACGGATCGGGTCAGAGGATGAACCAAATGCATCCGGTTCGGATTGTCGCGTTCAAGTTTGATAATCCAGGATTTGATTTCAGTTTCATTACTGGGTGATTGGAGGGAGTACATAGTCCGTTTGGAGAGGTAAAAACCCCAGGCGGTGTCGGAGATGCTGCGGCTGGGAAGGATGGGAAAACGGCCATTTGCGGAGGGTACCGGCGGAGGGATGGCAGAGCGCCAGGTGGAGCAGGCAGAACGGAAGCGGAGGAGATCGGTGTCTGAGAGATATTGGGACATTAAATGGAGGAGTTCTGTGGGGAGCTGGGACCACTCAGGAGCGGGTTCCGCCATGGATAAATTCTTGAAGGAGAGAGCAATGAAAGATTTGGGCTTTGGGAAATTACAGCTTTATTTATATAAATTGTGGTGTATT